CTTCTTCGTTCAGCAGTTTATTCTTTTCTATTCAATGAGTCGTTCTTATTCGAGTATTCTTTGTAAAATCTCATTATCTTACAATATTTCATCTGAGTTGAACTCAACCAGTGATCACCACAGAGGTTATTTTGATCCATGCGTATTCGTCTTTTTGCTAAATGCGGAAACATTTGTGCATTTCGTTGCTTCTTCGTTACCATCTTCGCTAATTTGTTCAGTAAATGTTAATTCTTTTCTTACTGCATGTACCACTTCAATCGGAATTTCTTATGATCGAATTGTAATGAATTGTAGCAAAATGTAAACTGTGATGATTCGAGAACATTTGCCCTTATATCAATAGCTGACTATAAGTCCGTCGTTTCGTGATCTCATGATTATCGCGTATCAATTGTTTGTTTTTCTTTCATAATTATGCATCACTTGAGCATATTTTTTAGATGTTAAAAATAGTCGAATGATGAATTGATTAACTTTGATTAAACGTTGATTAATTAAATGATAATCTATCGAAATCAGCAATAATTCAGCTTCTCTCGTTACCTAACAACACGACTGAAGCGGTATGCCAGCTGTTTCACCAAAACTGGCACCACAAATCACACAACATGTTCTGTATGGCCCAAGACATCTGCAGTTCCGACGTACGCTCGGCAAGGTTGCTACTGAAACTATTCTAAGCAAAATTGACATTTTACACATACACAGAATGGGCACTTTGCAGAGGCATTGACTGGCGCTTATTCATATCATAACTCATTTAAACAAGACGCTGTTCAGCGTTATTCTCTCTTTAACTCTGCAAAACATGCATAAAACTGACAAAGTCTTTTGTTTCTCATTGGCAATTGCATTCAAATTTCATCATTGTTGACAACGAAAGTAAAATTCGAACATGCGTAAAAACGTTCCATGAACGAGTTTTTCGTTTTGTTCTTCTTCGGTTAAAACCCGTTCAAATGAATTAAAAACGGATGCGCTCAACCTCCAGAATGACTGGATAGAGGTCAATTTGCCATTTTTATTGTAATGTGCAAACACCTGCTCTAATGGTACACAAATGTAATGCCGAACACAAAAATCACAAACTTATCATCACACTTCATCCAATTTGCTCAAATGCTTGTTTGAGACCGACTGTTTATAGCTGATCGATAAGGAAATTAATCCGAATGTTGACGAATGGGAAACGAGAAAATTATTTCCAGCAAAAAAAGTTTTCAAAAAACTTGGCCAACTCGGTGTACTTGGTGTCAATAAACCAACTGGTAATGTTCTGTTGATGATACCATCATTTACTCACTCTCCTCTTCAATTGAACTGGAAGTTGTTCAATACAAATAATTTTCTCGTCAACCGCATCTTGAAAGTGGAGAAATTTTCCGATTCATTAATTCTCAATTCAAATTTCCCTTAATTCCTATCAGAAAATCAACGCACCACATAAAATTTGCAACTATTATTTCTAGACTATGGTGGATTAGGATTGGATTTTAGCTATAATATAGCAATTGCTGAAGAGATGGGGCGAATTCATTGTGCTGCCATCCCAATGGCAGTTGCCGTCCAAGTAAGCTCTCGAACATTATACTTTACATTCATATTCGATGGTGATGTCCGCGTAATTCTCCTCTGACGATAACTGAATAATGTTCTTCATGAGTACTTCCCTGTGAATCAACGATTTTGGTGTTGTTTCACCTTCTCACTTCGGTTTTTCTTACAAAACTTTTCGAATTTGCTTGTTGCTTGCGGTTCAGTGCCCATTGAAAATGAGTGCTTCATTGCACAAACACAAACACTCCAGAACAGCGTTAGACATTCTTTTATCATAGACTGATATGGCCACACCTGCACTGGCCGATTTTGGGAGCGATTCACTGAAGAGAGAATTCCTTCAACCCACCATACTCGGAGATATGGTCTCTTGTATTGGAGTATCTGAAGCATGTGCCGGAAGTGATGTAGCTGGTGAGTGTTTTTAGATGTTCAACTGCAGCCATCACTAAAAAGTTGATCGAATCTGAATGAATGATGAGATCACACCAATTTCTTGTAGAAATCTACAAACTTTGTTGATCTTTCAAGCATAACACCAACAAATTCGAATTGCAATAATCTTTTAAAAATTGAAGCAATTCGAACTCATGCACACTGGCACGGTAATGATTTGATAATAAACGGTAGTAAACAATGGATTACGAATGGCTATCAAGCCGATTGGATTTGTTTATTGGCGAATACAAACAAGACTCAATCAATTCATCGCAACAAAAGCTTGATTTGTGTTCCACTCAATGAACCAGGTTTTCTCACTGAATTATTCTCGTCATCTAGATTACTGGTAAGCTAACACAGCAATGGTATAGATTGTTAGGACCAGCGACACTTAACACACGAAACTGTTTTATGGACTCGTTTTATGAACTTTATGAATTAAAAAAAAAACTCATTTATTGATGAGTTTCTTTTTAATCGTCTCAGCCATATTCACATCCTAAAATTTCTTCACACGACTCATGTCAAGTGGTAAGTTACCGATTGATGGGAAAGCAAACTCTGTAAGCCAGTGATCACTATTCTGGTTAATGACTGATTTAATTGCTGAAATTTATGACCAAATGATTCATCGTCTAATCTTTTTTCTTTTAAACCAGTACGGCCTAAGAGTATGAACTAAGTCATATCATTTGTGGGGGATTATCATTTCAGAATAGTAAAATATATCCAGAAAATTTTGAGGTATACATCGTTCTAAAGGCGTCGAGAAACTCGGCATGCACAGCTCAGATACAGCTGAAATCTATTTCGATTCAGTTCGTGTACCAAGTCGGAATATAATTGGTGAAGAGGGTCGTGGATTCCACTATCAAATGCTTCAGTTTCAAGATGNTTTCATTCGTTTTAACAGGGTTTTCATTCTTTTCTTTGCTGTTATAATCGCTCTCATAGCTTTTATCACCAAAATTGTTCTCTTTCGCTAATTTCTCATTCATTTCATTCAACAATTAAAGTTAAATTCTCATTCTATCAAGTACACTCTATAATTGATCAGTCGACTGTCGAACGTTGTTGAGCAGTAATACCCGACTGATGTATTGTTGATTTCGGCTGTCAACACTCGTCAACGTATCAAGTAAATAGTATATGCTACAGAATAAGAAATTGTTTTGAACTGTGAAGTGAAATGAAACGAAGTGAATGAGAAAAACTCATCAATAGAACGATATTCGCATGTAATAGTTGTGAGAGTGAATACAGCACGCCTGAAAAGAATGAGAAACCATCTAAATCAGTTTCAAGTGAGCATGTCATAGCTTTTATGCAATAGGTTTTCATGCAATCAGAGAACTAATTCCTTTTACACCGTGGAGAAATTTCCGGACCGGTTTTGCGTTTGTTTCTAACGTAGAAATAGTATCAGGAGGGGGGGGGGGATGTAACGGTGGCCTGCCAGATTGTTGAAAGGGGTAATGGAACACCCGAACGTGAGAACCACTGTATTATTGAAATAATTCATTGAGAGGATATTCAGTTCACATCATATTCACAACTTATGTTTTTTCATTATTCAAAGAGATATTTTGAACTTTAATTCATCTGGTAACTACAGAAGATCAAAACGAATGTCAACTTCACCCTTTCATGTTGATTGAATCGCTTCATCAGCTGTCAATTTCAGTTCTGGAACCACTACAACGGATAATTGATTTGACAATTGACTTCACACGTCAAAGGCGTGTGTTTGGTCGTAGCGTTCTGGATAATCAGGCATGACACATTCATTCATCATTCAATCCTAGATTCCATTTCACTTTCCAAGCTGTAATCCTTTCAGTGATGCTAATGATCAATTTGTAGAACAAATTTGAGACTTTAGTGGAATTTACTGTTTAAAATATGAAACAGCAGAAGATTTGCATTGCCGAATGAACTGTTCTTCAGGTGGTTCATTATCGCTTGGCTGAACTGCAGACGGAAATTGAGGCCGTACGGTCGCTGTTGTATAGGGCTGTGATGGAGAGAGTTTCTGGAACGGATGTGACACTTCTGGCGAGTATGGGTAAGCTGAAGGCTGCTCGACTTGCACGAACCGTCACCGATTCATGCTTACAGGTAATACGATAGTTCTCATAAACGAGTCTTATTCCACAAACGATTTTCATCACGCCAAA